CGGACGTTTCGTCCCGGATTGGGGTTCGGGCAGCGTTACCATGTTGACCGTCATGGTCAACTTGCCCTAAAACAGTTGAGATTATCTGTCCTAAATGAAATGCATACAAACTCATATACAGGTCCTCGACTACTGTATACTATTAAAAACCCTGTAATTTTACAGCAAAAAGTACTGGCAGCTGGGACGCCAGAAAGTGTACTGCATGCATGCAATTTTACAAAAACTGTTTTTTAATTAACCGCAAAAAGGCTGTAACTTATTTCGATCTTTCAAAACACGGCTATTGCACCATAACTTGTAATTACAGTGCACTTACTGTAAAAGATTACGGTAAAACGCATGTCAAGTAACGGATTTCTTTTTAAATATTGTCAATGTTACCGTAATTTACAACTACAGAATAATTACTGTAAAATATTACTGTCAACACATGTCAAATAACAAATCTCGTATTAAATAGGGGCCTACACTCGTCTATTATACTGTAATTTACGATTACAGTACACTTACTGTAAAAAATAGCAGTACATTATTCGGTAAAAACAGATATGTTTAACAGTGTGGAATATATTCATGAAACTATTCTAGAGATAAATGCAAGAACTAAACGTTCACTTATTAAACAACATTTAGCATCAATGTCCAATGAAAAGTAAACACGACTAAAATTACATTTAATTTTAATATACAGTATCTTGCACGAACTAAAACTAAACGAGAACCAAATATTTAAGTCCAGGGATAAACCTTGAACAGCAATCGTGCAGAACATTTCGGTCAACAAATAGCACGCTTAATTAATTATGACCTTGGCAAGTTCTTCGTGTATGCCTAAAAGTTCTTCCAAAGGTTTTTGAAAATGAAATACTTGTTTCAAGCAAGAACTGATTGAACTATTATACTAAGATATTTTTTCTTTTCAAATTAACTAAAACTAAAGTGAGACTAAAGTGGGATTATTTATTCAATCTTCAAACTGGAACTGAACTAAAGTTAATTAAAATGATTTCTTTTTAAACGGGAACCAAACTATCAAAAACTTTTCTTTCACACTAAACAATGGATGGTTAAAATAAGTTATTTTTAGGATCCATGCTAAAACTAAAATGAGAGTCTTCTAAAATCATTATGAATTATTCATTTCACACTAGAACTAAACTGAAACTAAATTGAGATTTTTGTTTCAAATTAGAACGGAACTAAAATGAAACTTAATCTTTTCGTTTTAATTAAACTATTATAACTAAGAAACTAAATCTAAATTTAAATTCTTGTTTCCAACGAGAACTGAGCCAAAACTAGATTCTCAATATTTTTTTAAATTCAAATTCGAACTAAACTAAAACTAAAGTAAGATGATATCAGTGGCGAAGCCAGATGTCCTGCTTGTCCTGCTTGTCGTGCTGAGCATGACATACAAAATTTCAGATAATGAATTTTTTACGCATATAATTTTTAAAAGATAACACCTATTCATGCAGCTTGATATATGTTCTTATATTTTCTTAACTTCAGCACGTTGCCAAAAAATTCTTAAACAGAGAAATTCATTATGCAAGTTAACGTTATTTAACTCATTTTGAATGAATATCGAGACTTTGCCTGCATGCAGGCAAAAGCAGGAAAAAATGGGTGGCTTGCCCGACGTTTAGTCCTGCTCAACTCAGGCGAGCAGGACAAATGTAAAATTCTAACGCATTTCATTGGCTAAAACAGCTCTCAAGAATGCAAAATACGCAAAAATATGCCCTTTACTCCTACTCGAGCTTCGATGATAAACCTTCGAATATTCTTCTGAATTATTCATCTTCCGGTGGTAGATTTATGAATATGTAAATTCATCCGATTCAACCAAGCGTGTGTGAAAGTGCACGAGATGTTATTTTGGGTCTCTTACAAAGATCTTTTAGTTCCAGTAGAAAATCTTTGAGAATCTACGCAATATATACAGTAAATTGATGTTATGCATTACGGACATTCAAACAAGTACAGAGCTAGGATGGAGTGAAACAGTGTTGTTTTCAAATATATAAACATTTCAAACATGAATATTGAGGAAATCTTTGAGATTCTACGCAATATATTAATTTGATGTTATGCATTAGTGTATTACTGACATTATTTAGACCGTATATTCATTAAATATACATCGACTGTATAAGATGTTACACCACAGATTTACGCGCATCGCCACGGACTTTGTCAAAACTTCTATGACTGTGAAAATATTGAAATCTAAAGAGACATTATTGAATACATGCGATCGAACATTGGGAATAAATCAAAGGTCAATGAGACTTGTTATTGTGAAACATGTCACACCTAGGTTAAAATGCGGAAGCGGACAAAGCGGATCCATCGAACGGATATGCGGATAAAATGCGGAACGGAAGGGGATAAAATGTGTCTTTTAATGATGAGTTTTTTTCGCCTCTTTTTTTACGCTCCGAATGCAAATGAGTTTTAGAGTATGCAAAATTTGGTTGTTGGTCATTTTTGGCAAAAATGCGGTAAATTTGCCAAGATTTTCCCCTTCTTAAGGTCATATTGGAGCTTAGAATTCAATGCTCAAATCGCAGGAAATGGCATTTCCGGGGTTCTAATTTTGAAAATTTTCGGCCGAGAGCTCCCTTTCGGCATGCCCCCAGACCCCCCCTAGAAAGTTTCGCGCCTTCGTTGCTCGAAGCATGACAAACAATTTTTGGCTGGCTTCGCCACTGTGTAAGATTCTTGTTTCAAACTAGAACTAAGCCAAAACTAAATTTTCAACGATTTTTTTGTTGAAATTCAAACTCGGAACTGAACTAAAACTAAAATGAAATTCCTGTTTCCAACTATAACTAAGCCAAAATATACTAAATTTTCAATATTTTTTTTTTTAAATTCAAATTTGAACTAAACTATAAAACCTAAATAAAAGTCTCGTTTCAAAATAAAACTAAGCCAAAACTAATTAAATTTTCAACGATTTTTTTGTTGAAATTCAAACTCGGCACTGAACTAAAACTAAAATGAAATTGCTGTTTCCAACTATAACTAAGCCAAAACATACTAAATTTTCAATATTTTTTTTTGAAATTCAAATTTGAACTAAACTATAAAACCTAAATAGAAGTCTTGTTTCAAAATAAAACTAAGCCAAAACTAAATTTTCAATTAATTTTTCGTTGAAATTGGAACTCGAACTAAAACTAAAACTAAAATAAGATTCTTGTTTCAAACTAGAACTAAGCCAAAACAAAAGTTCCAATGATTCTTTTGTTGAAATTGAAACTCGGAACTGAACTAAAATTAAAATGAAACTCGAGCTAAACTAAACCTAAAACAAGATTCTTGTTTCAAACTAAAACTAAACAAAGAAAAATTGTAATTTAAACTAAAACTAAACTAAATCCACCCTGCTAAAATCACATTACTATCTATATATATTCAGTGTGTTAAATTTACTCAGTCACTACAACGCTCTCTCTGGTTATTTTACATAAGCCGTTTACAAGATTTCTTATCGACAGCATAATAAAATACATGCTGACATTTATTCCCAAGATGTTTTTCAAGCAGGATATCCGCCAGTTCTTTACAGTGGTGGTAATCAATTTCAACGTCTATTGATTCTTAACAATTTGGCAAACGCATTTCGAAATCTGCTACCTCTTAAAGCATAGCAGAAAAAGTTAATGCTAGAATTCATCAAAATGAACAAGACACTGATGTTCTCAAGACAGTGAAGAGCGCTACAACTGCAATCTTCACAGAAGTTTACAAAGTATATCATTATAGTCGAGGGTCCATAGGTGCACAACAGAGCTACGAGAATGATTAGAAACATTTTAGTAATCTTATCTTCAAACAGTTGTCTGGTGTTACTACATGTAGTTGTAACGTTTGAGGAACTTATGTCACTGTTGACAGTTGGAAGCTGGTTCTGATCTTGTGACAGTAAGTGTTTTGGTCCAGCTGAAGTTGATAGAGCAATTGCTTCGAACATTTGTGAGTTTTGAGTAGTAGCATTTGGGGTGTCTATCGTTGTGCTGACAGCTGAAGAACTTTGGTGCTGCAGTGGTTTATTGCTTGCTTCTCCTGAAGTCGAAAGTGCAGTCACGTTCCTCCCGTGGTCTGTTCTCGTTTTATTGATTTTCCGCTTCAACAGAGTGCATGTAATACAAATTATTATCACGCCCATCGCCATGGAGGTGTTAGAAAATATGAAAACGTATGTAGAAAAACCAACACTTAGATAAATGTTAGGTAAACTCAAGGATATCAACCAAATAATTACTATGGTTAGAACAATTCTCTTATTAGTCGCATTGTTACGATATGTGTATGGTTTCCTCACGGCAAGATATCTTTCAACTGCCAAACTCGTAAGACTAAGAACAGAAGCGGTACAGGAGATGAAGTAAACCATGCCAATCAGGTTTATTTCTTCAGGAGCATGTTTCTTTCTCAAGCCTTCTTTGATGTGAAAGTAAACCTCAAGCGGCTGTACGATAACACCAACAATCAAATCAGCAGCTGCTAAATTTACCACTAACCAGTTAAAAGGAGTTCGTAAATTTTTGTTTGGATCACGAACAACGGCCAGGATAACGAGGAGATTTCCAGGAATATTGGTGAGGATGAACAAGATAATGATACTGGCTGTCGTAAATGATAACGCAGTTGGCGCATAATTGATCCGACATCTTTTTGCAAATGTATTTTCGATAACCATTGTGTTAGTCCTACGAGAAAACATGTTTAAAATGAAATACATGTTTTGAGAATAAATCCCGGCCGAGCTAACTAATTCCCACTCGACTATTTACGTTGGGAAAAGTACAGCAAGAGGATGTGGTGGGATAAAAATATATCCATTAAATTACAGAAAACCGTTTGTTAATAAAGATTATTATATATAATTACTCAGCAGATAATATGAAATCGTCATATCAACTCTATAGCTGAGCAAATATTGAGTTCTGACATAATATTTAACAGTGTGTCGTCATAGCGTTGATATGAATAAAATACCCTTAAACTGAATAACGACTGCCGCAGGAGTGAAAAATTGTGTCACAACAAATGGCTTCCTCAGGGAAACTAGCCGAAAAACGTTGAGCCGTGAGCATGATAATTTTTTGTATATGCATAGATCATGATCAATGTCATTTTATATCATCCATTAATTTTAGGAGGGAAAGTGCATAGCATGATCTCTCACCTCGTAATTGTTATAGAAAACTATCTAGTCAAGACAAGGTGTGCGAAAGAAAGGCAATATAAAGGACACAATCTGGAATGACTTCTGGTAAAACAAATTCAATTTATTAAATACCCTACATGCACAGTTTTGTATTTGATCTGGGTACAATTAATCCTAATATGTGATGTCAAGTGATGTTATTAGCAACGTGAGCTGTAAAGGGGTCAGATACTCAAAAAAATTACAGTACACGTCCGAAAGTAGTGTGTTTTCATGAAAACCACATGACCTGTCAAGAATATTTATATGGGTGCATCCACTAAGTGTACCGAGTTTGATTGGATTTTATTAAATACTCACTAAAATATCAGACTTTCTTGTTATTGCCATTATCTCGAGGCAGACTAGTGACGTCACAACTCAAAATATAGAAAGTGCGATAACTTGACAATGAGACGAGATATGGAAAAACTATTAACGTCATTTTTTCACCACTCCTGCAGTACTTTTTAGCAAAACAATAAAAAATGAGGTAAAAATTTCGTTTCATAAGCATTAAAACTAAAACTTTAAAAACTTTAATGTTCTATAGACAGTTTTTTGTGTACTTGTCAACCATACATTTCTGTGGGCTACAATTCTAAAATTTCTATCAGTAATTGATAGAAATTTATGTTGAAATATCAAAAATTCAAATTCACAGATAAATTACAGTTGATTTCCCAAAACATTGGCCACGCCAGTTGCGAGATTGGTTGGGAATTTGGGAACTATTAACACGAGATTATCAAGTTGATTGGAAACCGGCCAATCAAATTCGAAATTTTCGCATCAAATTATCGAAATTCGTTATGAAATTCCGAACCAAGTTCGCAAGCAAGTTCGCAAATTATTGCAAACGATTTTGACGGTAAATTTTACAAACTAAACTTGTTGCATTAAACTTATCATTTAATAATAAATTATATCATAATAATAATAATTTTTTTATAATAAGTTTAAGGTGGCTCGCTACAGTTTATAGAAATGTTGAAAATGCGTAAACTAAATCACATTTTTGAAGAGATGATGCCCTTTACAAATCGAAATTTGTATATTATATATACAGCGACAAAAAGGTTTTTAAAAAAAGGTCGGTTACCCCCATTTTTTATTTCAGAGAACATTTTCTTATAGTGCAATGCACTAAATTTCTGTAATGCAAAAAAAAAATTATTTCGAAAAACCATGTTTATAAAGTTTTTTAAAAATTTGGCATTACAGAATTTTTTAAAATTTGTCAGATAGTGTATTGTACTATAAGAAAATGTTTTTTGAAATAAAAAATGGGGGTAACCGACCTTTTTTTAAGGTAAAATGTGTTCAAAGCCAAAATATCAGCCATCTTGAATCGTCATTGTTGCCATAGCAATAGTGGTGACGTCACTTTTCTGACCAATTTTCGACTGTTTGATTGTCGCTGTATATATAATATACAAATTTCGATTTGTAAAGAGCATCATCTCTTCAAAAAGGTGATCTAGTTTACGCATTTTCAACATTTCTATAAACTGTAGCGAGCCACCTCCTCTGGGTATGAACACGATTTTTTTCATCTTCGTAAAGATCAGGCTTTTAATTTAACTATTGAACGATAATTATGTTCATGCCAAATGCATGGATAAAAAGTAAGCAAGTACGAGTCCGATAAAAAATGCTAGTTAGAATCGCATAAAAATTCGCCGTTAAAAGTTGGGTCTAAAACCATTGAAAATGAACCCTTCGGAGCTTAAGTTGATGAATTTCATTTCAATAAACTACGGACATATATTCATAATTATTATTAAGTAGGAATAAATCGTAGATAAGCTACGACAAGTTCGTGATGGCTATTAGTAAAACACGGAGCACGGAGCGCGGAGCACACGGAGCACGGAGCACGGAGCACGGAGCACACGGAGTACGGAGCACACGGAGCACGGAGCACACGAAGTACGGAGCAGTAGAAAAACGAAAATCCTTTATAATAAAATACACTGTTTACTATTACACTTTTTTGGTATTATTAACAAAGTTTTTTCGGGTATTACACGTTGGGGAAGTAGGAAAATGGGGCTTTTACTGAAAAACACATATGATGCAAAACTGCCAAAAGCCATAGTATTTAAAATGGGATTGTGAAACCCGTTATCTTACATCTATCAAGCTTATGTAGTTATATTATATTCCGATGGGCAACACATAAAGAAACACTTACTGTAGAGAACAGCCGATATATTTCGTTACCCCTGCCAAAAAAATAGCCAAGCACTCATTTTTCAATGTAGCGGATCGACTGAACATTAAAGCTTGTGATGGAGAGAAGTGAATTTTCGGTTTATCCTTCGGCTCAGTGGCAGTGACAGTGTGCTGTACGGCCGACGTTTAAACCGTTATACAGTACATAATTACTGCTTTGAATTCACATTCCTTCAATCCGTTTTGAATATTCGGAATCATTCACAATATTATACTGTAGACGATCCGAAAACATATTCACCCCCCACCCCTTAACTAAACATACAATTCGGTGTAAGGTTTAAAAATTGACGTGTATTATACTATTATTCTATAAATATTTAGGTAAACTCTAAAAGAAAAGCCGTACAGCTGCATATGACATTCGGTTAAAAAATTAGAACGCTGACTTTTTCGCGTTCTCTTTTTTTTGTCGTAAACAACTCCATATACGGAAATTTGTTCCATATATGGAGAAAGGCGTGGAAACAGATTTTTAAAAAATGCTGATTTTAAAAACATTACGAAAATCTTTATAGAGGTATAAACTGTTCACAATTTTACCACATTATTTTGAGATTTTGAGCACTTTTGAGTACTTTTTAGCCCTTTTTGCCAGAACTTTGTTTGGATTTTACCAGCGCAATCGGGAAGGCCTAAATAATAGCACGAATAATAGCGCATTTCGATATGCGTGCGTACTCGACCAAGTATTTGGGAATGTATGCTTTTTACACGTACTTCAAAAGACAGTAAACGGCTGTACGATTTGTTAGCTTACTGGACCAAAAGTCAACGGCTGTACGCATTATTGTAACGCATATTGTGTGTACTCTATCTAGTTTAGGCTATAAGTCTAGTCAAAATATCCATCACATGTAGCTAAAGACTATTAAAACTATCAAACTTTATAATTCCATCGGAATCGAAATACTGGTCTACATGCGGCTGCCGGGCAGTATTTTTAAAATACTACGTGCCCGTCAGTCAGGAAACACGTACAGCACACTGGGCCGAAGGATAAACCGAAAATTCACTTCTCTCCATCACAAGCTTTAATGTTCAGTCGATCCCGGCTACATTGAAAGATGAGTACTTGGCTATTTTTTGGCAGGGGTAACGAAATATATCGGCTGTTCTCTACAGTAAGTGTTTCTTTATACGTTGGCCAACGGAATATCCGAATATAATATAACTACATAAGCTTGATAGATGTAAGATAACGAGTTTCACAATCCCATTTTAAATACTATGGCTTTTGGCAGTTTTGCATCATATGTGTTTTTCAGTAAAAGC